CAACGTGGAGGATGGATGAGGGGCGCTCAACAGACGCTGGCTGAACTGGCCTGTGCTCCCAACCCCGTCCCTGGGCGCCATTTGCAGGTTAAAAGCAAAGATCCAGTTTCCACACTCGAGACACTGCGGTTCAAAGTAGAGGGTGCAAGTCCCACAGAAGAAATGTCACAAAGTGCAACAGGGCTCAAAGGAAAGAACAGGAAATCCTTGTAGATGAGGTGACAGTGGAGAGAAGTCAGAATTTAACAGTAAAAGACTTGAGAGGAATGAAAGGAGGCATTCTGGGCAAAGGCAACAAAGGAAAAGGAAGGGAGAAAGTTATAGCAGGAAAGTAGGCTACAGGTGAAGGATCAGAGGGAGATGAGCTCAGCTAGGGGAGCCACACTGGCCAAACGGGGAGCCTTGAATGACAAGATATCAAATTGGTAGGTAATGGGGACCTAGTGGAAGCTCTCCCCAGATGAAAATGGTTAAGGACCAAGGCGTGCTTTGGAAACCTGCACGTGGCAACGGAACGCACAAGAATAAGTTGGGAGGGGGCATTAGAGGGACCCCGCTGAATTAACAGCAGCTGCTACCATTATCGAGGGCTTAACCATGTACCAACCCTGCTGAACCTGCGTGATCTGTTTTAACCCTCACGACAGCTCCTGATCCGGTACTCTTACCATCCCATTTTACAGATATGAGAACCAAGGCACGGGGAGGTCAAGAACTGTGCTCTGGGTCATATAACGAGTCTAACTCCAGGCCTGGCACACTGACCACTAGAACAGCCTGCCTGGGTCCGCTGGCCGGTGCAGATTCTGAGTTGAGCTGAGAAGCAGGGGGAGCAAAGAGAAGACGCATACACCACAGAGATGACCTCTCTGTAACCTCCCACTTCAGGTGAAGGGGGCTGACTGGGAAGAAGTCTGGAATAAGGTTCCTGGGGGTTGTGGCACATCAAGCCAGCAAAAAACCCCGATTTCCTCGTGAACTTATACCAAGTCCTTCTGAGAATGCCACTATGCATAGCCTAGCTGCTTCCAGGACGGCTGACTTTGTTTTCAACAACTGGAGTATACTTGATAAGCAAGCTGAACACCCCAAGAGGTGCCAGGAAAGAGAGATGGTGACTGCATAACAGATTGGATTGAGTCCCTTGAAATTCATATGTTGAAGTCATAGCCCTCAGTACCCCAGAATGCGACCTTATTTGGAAACTGGGTCATTGCTGACGTGATTAGTTAGGATGAGTAGGGTGGGCCCCTAATCCTATATGACTGGTGTCCTATAAAGAGGGAAATCTGGCTACAGACATGCGAACAGGGACAATGCCACGTGAAGAAGGCAGAGACTGGGGTGATGCAGCAGAAACCAAGGGTTGCCAAAGATTGCCAGCAAACTACCAGAAGCTAGGAGCGAAGGAACCCTGCTGAGACCTTATCTCCAACTTTTTGCCCCCAGAACTGTGAGGCAATATATTTCTGTTGTTTAAGCCACCTGGTTTGTGGTACTTTGTTGCAGCAGCCCTAGGACACTAATGCAGTGACCCATGCCATCCTTTCCAATAAGAAGACCATAGGTGCATCTTCACTGCGTATTTTAGTAAGTAAAACAAAGTCTACTGTGAAACCTTGTACTGCAACGGATGTAATTACATATACGACTATCTCTGTACCATGGCTGTGAGCTGAAAACTGGCAAGTGTTTGATAGTTCATCTATCTCCAATTGCCCGGGCATCAGGGACTATCTTTGATTTTGAAACAAAAAACCAACTTTTACTTTATCATCAAGGACCTTCTTTCCCTTCCCTTTACTTTTAGAAGCAAATATTGACTGTACCAGATTCTTCCTGTGACCTGAAGAAACCAAGTCCAAAGGACAGTAAATCTGAGGTCCTGCTCTACCCCTCTTCCCAGCAGAAGGTCCCCGGTCTGTCCCAGGGCATGAAACCACATCAAGATGACCACAACCCCTCTCAGTTGTAAAGTGGCAACAGTTCTCTGAAATACGGATACTGGTGTTTAGCAGTCACCCCATCTTCACATATGCTCACACACACAATTCTGCAACAACTGTTCATTTCTTTGTTTAACCCATGCATGACTTTGAAGAGCATGCGCTTCATGGGTTGGGAGTGAGGCTGTGGTTAAGAAGGGAAGCTTGTCTACCCTGGGGAATTCCACGTACTGTTTGCAGCTAATGATTAGCCCCACTAAGAAGTGAAACCAAAGCGGTATTTCTTTTGATACTTGGAAAATCCCCTACTCCAAAATATTTTTGCACATGTACAAAAATTATGGAAAGTTACTGGAATCTCCTACAACTCAAATGTAAGTCACCAGAATTATCTATTTTAAAACAAAACAAACCTATGACGTTCCTATGGGGCACAGCACTCACTCTTCGAAGTTAACATTTATTGAGCATTTAAGATGGGACAGGCACAGTTCTAAGCCTGTTGCATGTAATGAATTAATTCTCACAACAACCCCCTGTGGTAGGCACCATTATTATTCCCATTGTGCAGGTGCGAATGAAGCACAGACTGGTTAAGAAATGGCCCGAGGTCACACAGCAATGCGTGGTAGAGCTGGGATCCCAAACCAGGCAGTCTGGCTCCAACACACCCCACCCCCTTAACAAACAAACAACCAAGCCAGACATATAGAGAAACAAGGCAAAAGGGAATAATGTGAGTGGGGACAGGTTAAGGAGGGTGGGTTGAGGATGGGAACAAAAGAACAACAATTACATCCCAGGCACTGGGCTGGCACTTCACACGTGCTTTTCCTACTTAACTGGCACAACACCCTAGAGGGTAAGCATTACTTTCCCACTCAACAGATGAAACACTGAGACTTGGGGAGATTAAAGTAACCTATAATGAGGGCAGATTATTATGTGATGCCCCAACATGCAGCTTTGCTGACTGCAAAAACCAGTGCTATTTTTTCAGCTCATTTTCTCCAGAGTCATGGTTTCAAATTGTAACTTTGGCATTATGGATGGTGCAATCTGCTTTTAAAAGTCAATCCAGCATTGGAGAGCAGTGGTGCTGGGGTCAGGAGTGGGGCGCATTGCCCCATTCCAGCTGCAAGCTTGCACAGAAAACCTGAGTACAGCGTAGATGCTTAATGTGCCAGCCTGGGAGCCAGGAAGCTCAGGGTCTAGACCCACTTCTGGCACTCATTAACTGTGTTGGTTTAGACAAGCCCCCCAACCTCAGTGAGCCTCTATTTTCCTTAAATACGAATTGGATATAAGGATGCCTGGCCTGTGGACCTCATAAGGGCATGTAAAAGGTGTTACCAATAAAGGTGAACTGGCTGTGAAAACTGAAAGGTGCTCGACAGCTGATCATCGTCAGAATTAACAAAATCAGGTCATCCCAGCAGCTACCATGGTCCAGCAGGTCCACACATGCCAGCTGGGGAAGGCAACACCAGAAGAATGGCCCAGCGTGAACCTCACCCTCTCCCCTAGGAAATCTGGGCTCAGGGCATCCAAGGTCTGACTGGGCCTAGGTCCTCAAAGCTTCCCCCAAGGCAGGCTTGCTGGTCTAACTAGGTATCAACCAGGAGAGGCTGGGCCGGGGAGGGAAGCCCTTAAAGAGTGAACAGCCTCATCTCCCTCCCTGCACATTTTGCAGGCCGGCTGGCATTCAGCTGTGATAAGGGCAGGGTGCCACCTGGGCCGGCAGCCCGCACTGGCTTTCATCCATGTATGTCGCAGGATCGGGAAAGGTAGCAGTGCAGTGCGTTACCACTCCTGCAGGGGCAGGGGATTCAGGTGAGACCACCCCACATGGTAGAGAGAGACTGGACGCGTGAGCTGAAAGAATCTTTCCCTCCTGGTGTTCTGAACAGACAGGAGCCCACCGAGACTCTCACCAACCCCCTTGCCATTAGTTCCGGCCCCAGGAAGAGGAAGGGATCAGATCTGCATAACACTGAATCACCCAGCACTTCGGCACAATGACCCCTCCAGGAGAGGGAGAAGCTCGTCTGGCAACTGCCTACACAAACAGGGCAACTCTGAAGAGCAGCAAACAAACCAGTCTGGCCCCAATTCCCATTTTGCATAAGATTGCAGTCCACAAAAAACAACGTCCAAGGAACTCTTGTTGATCACTACCGATTGTTAACACTAAGGTTTGGGCCAAGAGAGAATGAAAAAGGCCCCTTTGAGGGAACTTTGGATAAGGCCATTATGTGGAAACTGCTGTGCTGCGTCTTTAGACTCCAACTTGCCATTGGGAGCACCAGATGCTTCAGTCAACAGATCTCGGTGAACTTTGTTTTAAAAGAAAGTTACACTGAAAGGTTTGAACCTACAAACCAAAGGGGACTTGTTAGTCACTAGGTGACTATCAGGGTACCTGTTTTCTTTATGCTAAAAAGGGGTTACACAAGTTCCGGGGGCTGGAGGATTGTTAGGTGTGGGGGATGGTTAGGTACGAGCAGGTCCGTTTGTGTGCTAGCCTCGGAGCTGACACTGACCACAGCTGCTTAATCCAGGGACGCATCAAAAAACGAACCGCAATGGGTTAAAATCCAGAGGGGGCCACCGTGTTGGGCCGGGTGCGTGGTTCTTAAGAGAAACGTGCATCCTCCCGGGGGCCAAGGCCTCCTTCGGTTCCAGAAAAAGACATCTCAGCTTACACGAGGTACCGAACGTAGAGAGTAGGTCAGAAAATTTCCAGCATTCCGTCTCCCCTCCCCACCCCCGAACTACCCTTGATCTCCGTCAAACACAGGAAAGGTGTTCTCTAAAACCTAACGGATGATTTCACGCACTTCATTCCCAAAAGCCTAAGAGCCACAGCGACAGCACTAAGAGGCTTCGTTCGGATTCACAAAAAAGAGAGGCGCACAGTCGTCCGCAAACCCGCAACGCCCCGGGGGCGGGGGGTGGAAGAACGCAGGGGTACCCCCCCCAGGTCCCTCGCTACCCTCCAGGGCTCCCGGCCAGGTCCCCCAGCACCCCGCTCGCGTCCCGCTCTCCTGTTACCTCGCTCGCGTGTCCGCCGGCGTCCGACACTTGAGCCGTCAGTTCCGCGGGAGCCTTCTCCTCCTCGCCGGCGGCCAAGGGGCTACTCGGAGCCGCTCTGGGATTCCCGCCGCTACCCGGCGCAGCCTGGCTAACTCCGTTCACGCCGGCGCCCACTCCTCCGGCCGAAGAGGCGGCGGCGGCGCCGAGCAGCGCGTGGGCCCCGTCGGCGTCCCCGGCAGCCACGCTGTGCACCAGCCACGCGTCCACTCGGGTGCAGGGAATGAAGGGGACCCCCAGCGCGCGCACCTCCCGAAGCAGCTGGCCCACCGGCGGCGCCACGGGGTCCCGCTCCCGGCCCTTAGGGTGCAGGAGCTCGGCGCGCCCCCACCCTCCCGAAGCCGGGAAGGGGCTGAGCGCGTAGGCAGGGCTCGCCGGGCCGCCCGAGAGCAGAAGCTCATCTCCGAGCAGGGTCGGCGGCGGGAGCAGCAGGTAGAGGTCCAGGTCCAGGTCCAGGTCCAGGCGCAGCCCCGCCAAGCTCAGCAGGATGGTGAGGTGCAGGAGGCTGCCGCTGTCCGACCACCACGGCTTCAGGTACTTCATCCCCCGCCGCGCGCCCGGGGACGCCCCTGCAGGCGCCCGCGGGTCCCTGCGCGCCGGCCGCCGTTTGGGCACGTGCGGCCCCTGCGCGCCGCCGGCACCTGCCCGGAAGAGACAGAAACAATGGACCCGGGCGTGCAGCGGCCGTCGCGGGCCCCCGGAGCCGGGCACAAAACAGTCCCACAGCAGCCGCCCAGGTGCCTGCGGCTCGGGAGAGGCGGAGGAGGAGGAGCCACCTACACTCAGAGAGAGCCAGCTTAGCCGCCCCGCTGCTCCGCAGCCGCTCGCTGAGACCAGGCCCCGCCCCTGGCCGCGGGCGCCGCCGCCGGGGACACGCCCACTGCCGCCCCAGGCCTGCGTGGGGCGGGGCTCCCGGGCTCAAAGGCTCTTTATTCGGGGGGAACGCAAAGCTTTCTGGGAGCAGAAGTTGTTCTGGGCGCCAAGTGGACCCCAACCCTGTAGCCGTGGGCTGGGCGGTTGTGGCTGAATGCGCGGGGTGGGAGTAGGGGGTCCGGGGTAAAGGTGGGTGGGAATGGACAGGATGTGTAGACTTGGGGTGGGGGGCGGGGGCGGGGAGTCGAGGCACTGGGCAGCAGGCACAGGGCTTCCACCCACACGAGAACACTGAGCTGGCACAGTGGGTTCACATCCCAGCGCCACTACCAGTTGTGTGACCTTGAATAAGTTACTTCTCAGTGCCTCAGTTCTCTTATCTGTAAAATGGGGATAGTAGTACCTGTCCAATAGGGATGTGGTGAAGTCAGAGGAAATATTAAATGTAAAGCCCAGAGTTTGACATAGATTCCACTGCTACCGTAAGGATCAAACAGCACTGCTCTCTGTTCCCTCCCGCCTCCCCCCACTCCCGACCTTGTGCTCCAGCCTCACAGACTCCTCCCTGTGTCCTGAGCTACCCCTGCATGAGGCTATGCCTTCCCTCATGGTCTCCTTTGCTCCTGAAGTGACAGTTAAGAGCACCAGCGCTAGAGTTATCGTGCATGACTTCAAATCCCCCTCCATTTCTTACTAGCCTGGAAACTTGGACAAATTGGTCACTCTGTGCCTCAGTTTCCTCACTGTGAAATGGGACTAATAAGAGCACCCCCTCAGCACACCTGTTGTGAGCCCCAAATGAGCTGTGTGTATACCACCAACCACAGTACCTGGTAGGTAGGAAGCAGTCTCTTGATTGTTACCCATTATTTGTACTACCTATCCTCCAAGGCTTAACGCAAAGATACATCCTCTGAATTTTCACCATTTGTGATTCTCTTCCCCCATCTGTTCTCCCACAGTGATTTCTCCATATGCCAACATTGCAACACTTGGCACTTTTCACTTTACATTGTAGTTGAAATTGTTCTGATTTGCCCATTATGAATTCTTGAGGGCAAAAAAACCTGTTTGGCCCACCTTTGTGCCCATGTGGTACCCAGCACTGGGCCTTGCCATTGTAGGTTTTACTAACTCCCATTTCCTTCCGGGGCGGGGTGGGGAGGGCAGAGAGGGAGAAGGTGGTGATGCCTACCTGAGGGTTGGCAGTTGTGTAAGAAGTTGAGCAAGACTTTTTTTTTTTTTTTTTTTTTTTTTCACGTGCCTCTCGCTGTTGTGGCCTCTCCCACTGCGGAGCACAGGCTCTGGACGCGCAGGCCCAGCGGCCATGGCTCACAGGCCCAGCCGCTCCGCGGCATGTGGGATCCTCCCAGGGCACGAACCCGTGTCCCCGGCATCGGCAGGCGGACTCCCAACCACCGCGCCACCAGGGAAGCCCCAAGACTTGTTTTTAAAGGCCCCTTCCTCCACCTGGTTTTCTCCTCTGTCTTGGGCCTACTGTAATGAGAACTTCACACCAGATGTCAGTTTGCCCCGTGAGAACCAGGGGAGCCGAAGCAGACTTCTTCAAAGTCGCTTCCGCTTTAAGCCTTGGGGGTGGGGTTATGGGGTGGTGAAGAGGCTGGAAGAGAGACACTCGCAGGGTTAGTGAGATTTGGGACAGTAGCCCTGTTCACAGCATTTAGTCCCTGGACAGGGATTCAGGTTCTGGGCTTGGTTAACGTCTGCTGAATTCAGATATTTACCTCAGTTTTTACTGAGGACCCACTGAGCTGCCTGACACTGTGAAGGATAGGACATGATTTCATTAGGGACGGAAAGAATGTTCTCAAATGCCTAAATATTTTGGAGATATAAATGACTATACAGGAAGTGCCGTAACCCAGGTGAGAACAGAGATGGTACCTTCTTTAAGGTGGTATCTCCTAGAACCTCGCACGCAGTCGGAGCTCAAGACATATTTTTTTCAGTTGAATTGAGGCATTTACACTTGAGATGTGTTTTGAGGGATCCGAATAGACTAGGAACAGGAAGGACCTTCAAACTTCCTTCCTAATGTAGCTGGCGAAGAGGCTGACCCTCCACCTTTAAAATGTGAGCTGATAATCATAGTATCTGTCAGACTGCTCAATTCAAATGTGTGGATTATGGACTGGTGAGAAGCGGGGCACAGAAAGGACCTTGAGGCCAAATATGAAACAGGAGACTCATAATCAGTCCTACACACCTTTGACCTTCAACATAACAAAAGGTCCCATTTTTAGGAAGGCAGAGAGAGTGGAGGGAGAATGGGTTTTTTTGTCTGGTTGGGGTTTCTTTTTTGTTTTTTTTTCTAGAATACCTCCACCATTGCCTTGTAAAAGTCTTGAAAACTCATCTATGTCTATTAAAATCCTTAAATCAGTGCTACTCAAAGGATAGTCCAAAACTGGGATCAGTCCACAAACTGTTCGTTTCTGGTCCAGATGAGGAGAGTAATAGAACTGAGAGTGTTTAGAAATGTTTATAGTAATTTGACATTGTTGTAACAACCAAGCCATGATCAGCGGGTTTGCTTTTGTATACTTTTGTTACTTAATTTTTCTAGAAATGAATTTTTTTTTTAACTGTAGGGAAGTACTGACCTATAACAAATTGGGGGGAAAAAGCTGGTCCTTCACCAGGATTAGTTTGAGAAGCACTTAATGCATTCTTGTGAGGTAGGCAGGTTCCAAGATGACTTCTAGTCCTCCCCTTTCCTCGAGTGTGGGCTGAACCGGGTGACTTGCTTCTAACAAATAGAATATGGCAAAAATGATGGGATGTCATTTCCAAGATTAGGTTACAAAAAGACTCAGTGTCTTCTGTCTTGCTTACTATCCTAGTCGGGCTGCTATAGCAAAATACCATAGAACTGGGTGGCTTATAAACAGCAGAAATTTATTGCTTATAGTTCTGAAGGCTAGAAGTACAAGGTCAGGGTGCCAGCACAGTTAGGTTCTGGCGAGATCCCTTGTCTGGGTTGTAGACTGCTGGCTTCTGATTTTATCCTCACAGAGAGGAGGGGGCAAGGGAGCTTTCTCAGCTGCTTTCTTAAGGGCACTTATCCCATTCATGATGGCTCTGTACTCATCACCTAATCACCTTCCAAAGGCCCCACCTTGTAATACCATCACCTTGGAGGTTAGGTGTCAACACATGAATTTTGGGGGGATAAAAGCATTCAGACAGCATTACCTTCTCTCTCCATCTCTTGCTCTCTCCCTCTTGGAGAGGGCTGCCATTTTGTGAGGATCCCTATACAGAAGCTCATGTGGCAAGGCACTGGTGCCTTCAGCCAACAGCCAGTGAGAACCTGAGGCCTGCCACAGCCGTTTGAGCAAGCTTAAAGCAGATCCTTCCCTGGTTGAGGTTTGAGATGATGGTAGCCCTATCCAACTCCTGGATCGCAGCCTTGTGAAAGACCCAAGCCAAAGGATGTATCTAAGCTGCACATGGATTCCTGACCCAGAAATGACTCTAAGGTAATAAATGTTTCAAGCCACTAAGTTGTGGAGTTAATTTGTTACACAGCCTAGTTAACTAATAACCTGTGTCAGAAGTGGACATCAGACAAGTGGAAGGAAAAACTAAAAATGCAACTGCAGTTGTGTAGTATGGTTAGTGATATTCTCCATGAATAATTTATAACTGTGAAGTAACATTACAGTAGTACATCCTGGGCCCTTCATTCAATAATCTGGCTTACCCCTATAAATATAGGATTGTAACTTGTCATGAAAGGTATCACTAAAACACTGGCACTGTCAGCTGGTGTGAGGTGACCACAAGTATCAGCATCTTCTCCCATGGCAATTTCTTTTGTCTATCCAAAATAAGCAAGAGGGTTTCCCTGGTGGCGCAGTGGTTGGGAGTCCACCTGCCGATGCAGGGGACGCAAGTTTGTGCCGCGGTCCGGGAAGATCCCACATGCCGTGGAGCGGCTGGGCCCGTGAGCCATGGCCGCTGGGCCTGTGCATCCGGAGCCTGTGCTCCGCAACGGGAGAGGCCGCAACAGTGAGAGGCCCCAACAGTGAGAGGCCCATGTACCGCAAAAAAAACAAAACAAAACAAAACAAAATAAGCAAGAAAGAAAACAGGTCCAAACATTGGCATCCTTCTTTTAGAAAGTTTCTGCTAATATTAGCTACAAGAAATTTAAATTCGTGGTAGAAATTCCAGGGTTAAGCAAAAAAAAAAAAAAAATTCCAGGATTAATAGCATATTAAAAATCTAAGACATAAATTAAGATATGTCATATTATCTAGGAGGAAGAATTAAGCATAGCTAGTTTCAAAACAGGCACAGTCACTAGAATTTAAATGACTCTGCAACTGTTGAGACATTTTGCCAAAGGTTTCTGCAAAATAGGTTCATGAATGGCCTAATTTGCAATCTAATATCTAACAGTCTTGGTGATGATGAATCAACTGATTCTTCGTGAAGAGGAAGAGTTTATCCTCATTCTCTTATCAGTCTATAATCTTCTGAAAGTTGCTCTGGACTTTGGGATGGTGATGCTCACCATCTGTGTGTTCACACATGGCATTCATTGGAGGAGCTGCGATGTACTGAACGCTGCTCTGTGCTGGGACCTTTCCAGGCACAATCTCATTTACTAGTCACAGCAACTCTATGAAGTAGGTATTACCTCCATTTTGTATTATTTAGATAAGGACACAGGTTCAGCGTCATGATACCCTGTGCCCACAGACATGCCGGTGGTAAATGGCAGAGTCAGAATTCAAATGCACCATCTCTCCACTTTCCACTGCAGTTCACACCTCCTCTGTGCTGTCTGGCTTGTTTATTCATGACTCAACCTCCTGCTCCTGCAGGACAGAATGCCCTTCCTCAATCACTGCATTCTTCCCACAGCTTTTGAAAGTGTAAAATCTGCTCGCGGTTTATCTTCTCTGCAGAGTTTCAGGGGAAATGCAGTATTGGTTTTGTCTCTCTGTATGATGCTCCACCTTCTTGATCTTTTACACAAAAATAACCATCTCTGTATTTAGAGCAGCCTGTGTGGTTTGCTGATCCCTGCAGTTTTGACTCCTATGGATCCATGTCAGCCTCAATTACCATCAGTGACAAAGCAGGCACCCATTTGGTGACAGTCATTGGGATACAAAGACAAGTAAGACAAGAGCTTACAGTCTTATTAGGGAAGCAGGATGTGCACAGGGTGAAATGCATGCCATCTGGGGGCATAAGACTCCTCATGTGAGAAGTATGTTTAAGGCCAGGCCTGTGCCAGGGAACTCACAAGATAAACAGCTTTGCTGACCCCCACCTAGTCTCTGTGGTGTGAATTCTTACATTCAGGTCAAGGTTCCAAAGTTTGCAGTTGCTGTGTGTGTGTGTGTGTGTGTGTGTGTGTGTGTGTGTGTAAGGGGATTGCAGGGACAGAAAGGAAATTAGGAAGAGAGGTATAGGCGACATTGGAGTGAGGCCGGTCGGCAGGGAATGAGAAATCTACAAGTTTGCAGTAGAGACATTTGGGAGCAAAGGGGAACTGCCATTGCCAACCCTCGTCCTGTCTATCACATCCAGAATGCTGGACCCCTAAGCTATCGTGGGCCTGTTCTGTTTAACCACAAACCTAGTCAGTGCGGCGAACCACTATAATAAACTCCCAGACTCAGTGGCTTAACCCAGTGAAAGTTTACTTTCTTATTTCACAGTCCAGAAGAGGGTTTAGGATAAGGGGAGTCTGTGCTCTTTGGGGTCATTTGAGGACACAGGCCCTCTTCTTATGTGGCTCTGTCCTCCTCTGGGTCCTCAGCATCCTCTCCATTCAGCTGGCATATGGAGAAAGAGAGTAAAGAGCAAGCAGAGGAGGATTTTATGGGCCAAACCCAGAAGTGGCCCCCATAACTTCCGCTCACATGCCATTGGTCAGAACTTGGCCATGTGGCCTCACCTAAGTGCAACGGAGTCTTGGAAGGTGGGCCTAACTGTCCTCCCAAGACCAAAGGGAAAGGGTAGATACCTGTCTTTGCCACATGTGTCCCTTGGTCTTATTTTGCATTCTATTCATTCAGAAACCATTTATTCAGCACTACTGGGTATCTAGCTCTTTTTGACTAAAAATATTATTTTAGCAACTCCTAGGGAATTAGCACACAAATGCAAAACTAGGTTGGCTTGTTCAAGGTAGAGCAGCACTTCACACTGACAGTCTGAGTGTTTAAGAAATGCTGACTGAAACAACATGGATGGACCTAGAGATTATCATACTAAGTGAAGTAAGTCAGACAGAAAGACATGAACTTATCTACGAAACAGAAACAGACTCACAGACATAGAGAACAGACATTTGGTTGCCAAGGGGGAGGGGTTTTGGGGTTAGCAGATGCAAACTATCAATATTATATATAGAATAGATAAACACCAAGGTCCTACTGTATAGCACAGGGAACTACATTCAATATCCTGTGACAAACCATCATGGAAAAGAATATGAAAAAGAATGTATATATATGTATGAATCACTTTGCCGTATAGCAGAAATTAACACAACATTGTAAATCAACTATATTTCAATAAAATAAAATTAAAAAGAAAACAGAAATGATGCCTGATGAGAATGGTCAAAGCCGATGGTACATACGTGGCAAGAGCTTGGGATTCCACAGTCTAATCCCAGCTTGTCCCAAGCAAGTCATTTTGGGAAGGGCACCTACATCTCTGGACGCTGCACCTCTCACCTGCACAGTCAGAACTTGAACTGGACAGGTTTCTAAGTTCCCTTCTCACCTTGAGTGTCCCTGAAAGTCTTGGTGACCACTGAGGACTATGTTAGATTACTACTAAATTCAGGCACTCGGCGGTGACCACTGCGCAGACCGGACTTTCGCTCGCTCGCAACTCACTCTGCTTGCTCTGCAACCGTGTCTGACAAACCCGATATGGATGAGACTGAGAAATTCAATAAGTCGAAGTTGAAGAAAACAGAAACGCAAGAGAAAAATCCACTGCCTTCAAAAGGAACGATTGAACAGAAGAAGCAAGCAGGTGAGTCGTAAATGAGGTGTGCACTGCCAATACGCACTGTACATTCCACAGGCATTGCCTCCTTATTTTAATTCTTTCAGCTGTTTAACTTTGTAAGCTGCAAAGAGGTTGGATCAAGTTTAAATGACTGTGCTGCCCCTTTTCACGTCAAAGAACGGAGAACTACTGACAACAAAGGCCGAGCCTGCCTCTCCCGTCCGCCCGCCTGTCTGGCTGGCAGGGAAGGAAAAGAACTTGCATGTTGGTGAAGGAGGAGGCTGGGACGACAGTGAAATCTAGAGTAAAGAGCAAGCTCGTCCACAGTGTCCTGCGGGCTGTAAAATGCAGTTTAATCAGAGTGCCATTTGTTGTTGTTGTTCAAATGATTTTAATCATTGGAATGCACAATTTTTTAAAATATGCAAATAAAAAGTTTTAAAACCTGAAGAAAAAAAATTACTACCAGGTCTGTGTTCTCACTTAACTATGAGGCTATCAGACCTAAAGTACCACCACACAACTTTAGAAAAGAAAGCAAAAGACAATACACTCCACTCTTAACCATCTCCAACTAGAAGAATCTGAAAGGCATCTCTCTTTGACAAGTTTGCATCTTTGTGATGCATCTTCCTTACTTTTTCTGCACATGCCCCGTCTGATGACATTCTGAAAGTCTAACACTCCAATTGATCTTCACTCTCCAACTTTACACTATTTGATGATAGGGAAGCAGCACATAAGTTGGGTTGTGGGGAAAGTCACTGATCATTCACAAAGTAGGAAACCCAAGCAACCACCATTGAGAATTAATATAAGTGCAGTTTACAGAGGACTGATGTATTGCTCCTTTGCTATAAGAAACTCGTTTTGAGGCCAGTGACCCTGATCATTATTCAATAAGGTTGACGGTTTTAAAAAATTATCTAACGGAGGTTTAGTTTCGCACCTGAACTCTCTCATTTTCTTAATCATCTCCCTTAAGCATATTTGTATTTTTGATAGCAGCTATAATGTTCTCTTTACTAATTCACATCATTAACCAATTCCTGCCTAACTGTCTCTTTGTCCCTGCTGGTTTTCTCTAATTCCTAGTTTTATCTTCCTGAATTCTGGAATCTCTATCTGATCTTAACTCAGCAGCAGCCTTCTGATCGCCAAACTATTGATACAAGAATAGAAGGCAGGGCTTCCTGGGCCATCCAGATCTGCTTCTGAGCCCCTGCCAACCTCTGCCTGCCTTCACCCACCTTTTAAAAAGGTATATACTAGTCATAGTTTCTGCTTGCTGACCAAATGTTGTCTATGATACTGTAGTAGGTTGGATAGACCCCCCGATTTCATGTCACCACACAAAACCTCAGACTGTGACCTTTTTTGGAAATAGGGTCTTTGCAGATGTAGCTAAGGTAAGGATTGAAGTGACATCATACTGAATTAGGATGAGCCCTGAATCCAATGCGAGTGTCCTTTTAAGAGAAGACAAGGACACACACACCTATAGAGAAGGAGGTGATGCGAAGACAGAGGCAGAGATTGGAGTCAACGCTGAACAAGCCACCAGAATCTGGAAGAAGCCAGGAAGGATTCTCCCCTTGAGCCTTCAGAGGCAGCACAGCCTGCCCGCGGTTTGATTTCGGACTTTCTGGTCCCTGGAACTGAGAGAACACATTTCTGTTGTTTTAAGCCACCAAGTTTTTGTGTGGTCATTTGTTATGGCATTTCTAGGAATGTAATACACATAATTTTACAATTTTCCTTCTCTTTTTGTTTTGTTCTTGTTATTACAGAAGAACGATTTTTGTCCCTGCGTAAAGACTGGGATACTCTGGGTACTGTCATGTTCATGGCAACCTCAGAGGCAGGATAGAGGAAGGAGCGTCGCTGAAACAGGAGTTACGACATTAGCACTCAGGAGGCCTGTTCAGGGAAGGGCAGATGGGTGGGTGGCTCGTCTTGGAAACCACCTGAACCCTGGGCCTCATCCTTGTATCTTACCTTCAAGGCTCCATCTGCACTGGCCCTTGTCCTGTCCCCCACCTCTCACGTGCTGGGAGGCCCCAGCAAAACACTGCATCAGGCTTTTGTAAGAGAAGTTGATAAAAACTTATCTGTCACTTCCTTCCTACAAACTTGAAATAATTTTCAGTTTTCCTCCTGATGATAGAAGTAATATGTGCTCCTCATAAAACAACACCAACAGATAAGAGAGAAAGGAAATAGGAACTTGAAATCACCTAGAATTTCCCCACCCAAGATAACTACTTTTCTAACATAGTATACACACCTGTATTTATATTATTTTTATAAAAATAATTTTTATAATTTATATAATACCATATGTAAGTTATATAACAATTTTTATAAAAATAATTTGTTTTTGTAACTGCTTTTTAAAGACCACTATAAGCAAAGATAGTTCCACACTGTCATCTTTATAAGCTGCAAAATATCCCAGAACACAGATGTGCCTTGATTTAAAGAGTTTACTACTGATAAATGTTTAGGTTGTTGTCATATATTTTCACTATTATAAACAACTTTACAATAGACTTCTTTTAGACATAATTTTGGGCACATATCTGATTATTTCTATAGCATGAATTCCCCAAAACTTTTGAGTGAAAGAACATAAACTTTTAGAGGAGTTAGATATAGTCTGCCAATTACTCTCCAGAAAGGACCATGTATGATGACTTTCAGTCCTTTTCATCAATATATCCTAATTTTGAGTTACAGTAAATATTCCCTAATTTTCTGAATAAAACTATCATAACCTTGCTGCTACTAACATCTAGATTAGAAAGGATCTTAAGAAAAAGAGTTTCATACAGTAACTGGAATTTTTTGGAGTGCATTTTCCTTCACTCGTCTCCTTTCTCCCTTTCTGTCTTATTTCTGTTTGAAAGTGCTTTGTGATCACAGTGTGTTATTTACTACTTTGTGACTCTTACAAGCATCAATTAACCATGAACGTGACTCAACCTGACGTATGTCTTTCTTAATTCAGTGGTAAGTGCACTTTCCCAATTCCATTGCACTAAATATCTCCAAACCTTCAGGACTGCCAGAATGAGTTAGGAAGAAACAGTATCTGGATCTATTTGCTACAGAAGTGTCAATATTTGCTAAAACAAAGAGCTGGGACTACCCCCAATGGAATGCCATCTGTCCTTGTCTTTGAGAGGCTGCAGGAAAATCCTTTCACAGCCAAGAGATGGTTATTTGGCATAACTGATACTGAAATTCAGCAAGGTGGCTTTCAGAGGTGAAACAGGCTGATGTAAAGAGAGACTTTGCTGTGTGAAAACGGGAAGTTTAGAAATGTGTTTCATTTTTGAATCTATAAACTAAGGATTATTTACTTTACCAAAATATTTCCCATAGGAATCTTTTAATCAGCACGATCACCTAGCTGATTTAAACATTCCAGTCATGGACATGTTATTTTCTTGTACAGCCTTTCAGGAAGTAAGCAGCTGGTAAGATGAGACACAGCTTCCTTCTCAGAGTCTCATTATTTCAACCATGCTGTTTCTTAAGCAGATAAGCTCCCTACTTTGTTCTACGATATATGGAGGCTCAGTTCTGTTGCAGTTTTAGGGTGGAGGCGTAAGACACAAGAGTCCAGCTTCTGAGGTATGGTTAGTTGCCTGACTCGGGTTCCAAAGGAAACCTGGTCACCTTTGGAGAAAACCCAGATTCCTTTGAACAGCAAAAATCTGAAGAATAATTGAAGAGATCATCTCAGGTTGGAGTGAAATTCTTCAAAATACGGCTTCAGGGCCCAGTCCTCCTCCAGAGCACTGCTCAGTGGGATGTTTGCCACTTAGAATTTCAGTCCATCTGTGTAGTGTCCAGCTCTCCCCTGAGAACACATTCATTTGGGAACCTCGAACATTCCGTAACATTCTTATGATTCCCCACTTTATCCAGTTATGTCACTTCTTCCAAGTTTATTTCCAGCAGATGCTGCCAGCCCTCAGTGGGACCTTCACCTAATCTCATTCTTCTCAGGAAAAGAGCAGACATCCCAGACTCAAGAGGGCTGTAGGCCACCTCCTCTAGCTGTCCCTGCTGTAGGCTGGAACGAACCAGGAGGGCAGATCGTCCCACACTGCTCTGCATCTTGGACATCTTGGCCCAGGTTAACTAGATCCAGCTAAACCAGAGGGTCTTGGCCACTATGGAAACCTATACTTCAGCCCCCAAAGATACATGGGTATGTTTCTCTAATGGCTTTTGATATGGACTAAATTTATGCCTTCATTCAATAAATACTTAGTGAACATTACTATGTGTCAGGCATTGTTCTGAGAACATGTTTCTGTGAATAAAACAAAGCCCCAGGTTTAATGGAGTCTGTAATCCACTGGGGGCAGAGAGACAATAAATAATTTATCAGAGGGTGTGGTACATGCTAAGAAAAATAGATAAATGAAGCAGGGGAAAAGGGTTGAAGGGGGGGAGAGTGATGGTGGGTGTGCGGTGCACGCAACCGTGTCACATAAGGAGGGAGACATGGAAGGTCTGACCTGCGGGAGGTGAGGGAGAGCGCCAGGCAGCTCAGTGGGGAAAGGCATAACCCAGCTAGCGAGAATAGCAAGTTCAAAGGCCCTGAGGCAGAAGAGCACCAACTGTGTTCAAGGAATAAGGGGAGGCCATGCGGTAGAAGGGAGAGCAGTATCCGGTGCCAGCTCACGCTGGACATCATAGCATGGTGAAGATTCTGTATCTTACTCTGAGTGGGATGGGAAGCCAGCAGAAGATTGTGAACAAGAAATTAATACATGTAAGACACTTCAAACACTGTGCACAGCAAGTACTGAAAATTCTAACTTTCGTTTTTACTTTTCTTGACTCTAAAGGTAACTAACCTCCATTTTACGTTATGAGAATGATAATTTTTAGCCTAAAATATGGCACAAAGGATAGAAGTCCTGATCTGACAGATCAGATTTGTGGTTACCAGTGGCCAGGGGTGACGGGAGGAGGAATTGGAGGAAGATGGTCAAAAGGTACAAACTTCCAGTTA